AGATGAGCAATTTTATGAGGATTAATAGATTCGTCCCAATGTCAATGCCAATGTCAATTAAAGTTTTAAAAATACAAAGGATCATTTTAAAATGTTACAATGGTTAGCAAATTTTATATTTATAACAGTTACATAGTTAGATACTAACAGAGAGGTGTATAAATTAAAGAAATATTGTCTGCCTCCTACATTTCAACTAGCAAAAAATGGCCTTGAAACGTCCACGTACATTATAATTTATAAATGAGAATCATTCTCAAAAAAAAAAAATTTGAATTAAATATTTTTTTATATTTATGTTCTACTTAATTTAAGTGACGTGATGTCACTGCTTACAGACAGTTGCATTTATATTGCAATGAATTTATTTTTTATTGTTGACAACTTTGACTATTCTTTCATTAAGTGGGCCCAAGGGACCTTTCTCGAAATACTGGTACGTTTTCACTTGAAATCACTGCAAATTTTCTTGAAAATCATGGTCGAAATCAATTCGTTTCTCAATAATATTAATGCAGCAGATTGTAGATGAAAGGCTAGGAAAGAGTACCAATGCAACTGCGAATTTGATTCTAGGTTCCAGAATCCAATTGCCAGACCGTTATCAAGATAGCGCTGATTAAAATATTGTTTTATTTTTAATTATTAGCTGAAAATGAGATTGTAGACGAAGATAACGTTACAAAATAATTAAATTAAGGGGAATTTTCGGCTACATCACCGAAATTATATAAAATCAATTTTAGGTGATTTCCGAAGTACGGGTACGTTTTGATCTTAGTGGTTTACCACTCGAGCGGGCCATACACGCTACTCTGATATGTTTAACCTATTAGTCCCTCATCTTACTGCAAAAATTGGCATGTTGTCTAACCTGTCAAGTTCAAAATAATGTTGCACATCGATTTTTGCTGGCAATTAAATAATTTGTTTCTAGACGTCTATAAGGTAACAATAAAAAAAATCCTTTTCAAGCATTTTTTGTCGTCCGTTTTTGCTACTTTCGGTATAAGTTTAGAAATTTGTCTACATCGACAGTAGCTAAACTGAACGTCTGAAAATGCTTGCAAAGGGATTTTTTTATTGGTACAGACGTCTAGAAGCAAATAATTTTATTGCCAGCAAAAAACGAAAAACTTCATCGATGTGAAATATTATTTTGAATTTGACATGTTAGACGACAGCTTCCATCACCGGGACATAGTACATGTGTTTCACATCACATTCTTTTACACATTTTTCAAGTACCTAACTGTTTGTTTCTTTTCTGCTGATAAATTGTCTTATATCTAAAGTAGTAATCGGAATTGTGAATTACAAGTGGAAACATGTTTGTGCCGATGTTTTGATTTTCTATTTGTCAATTCGAAAATATTGTTTTACCTAATTCCGACAGTCTAACTTACAGGAGCTAATACTCAAACTTAACAAGGCTTTGGACAATTAAGTAGATAAAAAAATAATACAAATAAAAATAGGTATATACGAGTATATCGCAGAAGTCACCACGTTAGATTTTATTTAACTCGAAATCTAAAGAATCTTAAAAATATAGATATAATTTCATTTAGCAAACATTTTACTAAAAATCTGATGTGTCCAACACATGACTTTCCTATCTAGTTATTATAGGCTTTTTCCGGTTATTTTGTACAACCTATTGCAGCACCTCTATAAATATTAAGAGGATACATTTTCCACATACATCTTCCTCAAAACATTTTTCTATAAATATTCATTGAAAACGAAAATACTGAAAAATTTAAATTTAGCACTCTTCGTCCAATTTTTCCATTACGGTCCATTTTAGAAAAATCATATATAAACAAAAATTATAGAGATCGATATCGCAAACAACTTTTAGTTCAACAATTTTCATAAAAATCAGAATTTTGCACATTTTGTCAAATTTCTCGAATACGGACCATTTCAGCAAATTTTGACATAAAACAAAAATTATAGACAATAATATTAGAAGTAACAATTTTCTTCTCCAAACATAAATAAGAGACATATTACATAAAATATAAAAACGGCCTCCCATAAAGTACCCCCACAGATGTTCCGACTCTGCCCAAAAACTAATCAGTTCATTGGAAGATGGAATAAAGCTTAAGTTTAAAATTTGGTGTTTTTCTGTGTATCGGTTCATGAGTTATGGTGGATACAGACACACACACACTGACAGACATCATCGCGAAAATAGTCAAAACGGATTCAGGGGACCTCAAAACGTAAAAATTCGTCGAAAACTCGAGGTCGAAAAAAATCATGATTCCTATACTTTCCTTATATCTGTATACAGATAGGAAAGTAAAAATAGGTAATAATTGAAATACTTATTCGGTCATTTCCGAAAAATATTTTTTTATCAGTTATTATGCATTCCTTTTAATATAAATAATATTTATTTCAGCTGATTATATTACGTTAGTACATAGCCATTACCATAAATGAGTCATTATTATCACTCGGCTAATTAGCGACGGTGTGATTCAATTTGTATGTAATTTTATATAGTATCTCGTTTAGATAAACCAAATAAAAATAATGTTCATAATTATTATAAGACACTTGTTATATAAAGAGTAAAAAAAGTTTGTTAATGAACTTTTGTACAACAAGATTTGACCATAACCACAGACAGCAATTATAGGTATTATCTAGAAATATTGAGGTAGATAATTTGCTTACAAAAAAATTGATCATAGAGAAATAAAACAATCAAAACAAAACTTAGATATTAGAACCAGCGTAAATAGATATTCAAAACACGGTTTTCCGCATCAATTACCCTTCGCAAAGTTGGCTTTTTCTCACAATACAACGAAAAAATATTAAAGAGATTTGTTTCCGAATTTTAAAATTATTTAACAACGTATTTAAGATATTTCTGACTTTTCGTATTTCGATTTGCGATCTGCGATATATTAAATTCACAATTTGTATACTTAGGTTTATGTCTTTTAACGTACATTGAAAACTTAACTCACGCAGACGAAAATATGGGCTTATTGTGCATTTCTCATATACACCGATACTCTAGAGAGGTATTTGAAGATATGAGAATGATCCTGAACGCTGTCTGCCCCGAACTAGCACATCAAACTTTTGTCTAGACATCTCTACAGTCGCTGCCCGTGGATAGTCGTCTAGTGGAAGGGACACTTGTCTAGCACACAAGGATGTCTGAGTTCGATCCCCGGCTACAATTGTTTTCACCTTTGCGGTTCGGGGACGGGGACTTAAATTAACGACAAAATTTCTATTTTATTATGTACAATCATGTTCTAAAGCCGACATCATTTCGAGAGATTGAAAAGGGTAGAAACCTCCCTCTAAATTAGAAAATATTTTTTATAACTAACCAGAAAAAATGTATCAACTCAAGATTTATGACAGAATATTGTTTTACTAGCTGTTACCCGCGGCTTCGCACGCGTGTGGTCGTGTTTTTAATATAAAAAAATGCACGACTGCCCAAAAAAATGAGGGATACTATGTTTTTTAGGGTTCATGATATGTATGTGATAGTATTATAGATAAGAGTTAAGTAGAGTTATCTAATATTTAAATATTGTAATACGACATTTCTGTCATGTACTTGCAATGAATATCACTTTAATAAATAAAGGAAAAGAAGGATTGAACCAAAACATGTTTGATGAGAGTCTCGCCTAGATTTAGTAAGGAATCACGTCTGTAAATAAGAGCCCAGACCACATTAAAACGGCAGAGAGATGAAATCTCAATCACTGTGAGAGGATATGCCTTTCTCATGTCTACCGGGAGGTAGATAAACGATGAGATAGATGAATAAATGGTAACGGAAGCTGAAGTCAAAATGCTCAATTTTTTCAGTATTTACACGTAGGTAAATATTTCAAAATTCTTTGTAAATAGGGCTGTTAGTTTGCTATACAATAATAACAACAACAATTACTTTTACCTGCTTCTAATTATTATACCTACCTATTTGAAATATTCAAATAACCAAATAATTGCATGAAAGTAATGGAGACATTATGTGAAAACAAGGTGAAACTAGCTGTTCGTTATCATTTATTGTGTATATATTTTTAACATATTATCACGATGAGTGATACATATTTTTCAATAATTCTCATAGGTGTTTTTGTCGTGTAGGTATTTAGACCATTTTAACTTTCCACAGTTCTGCATTTTTTTAAAGTACGAGTATAATTCAAAATAGGAAAGTAAATATTAAATTTGAATGTATCCAACATTTTAAAAGTAATTTTATATATTTTTAATCTTCGATTTATTATAAAAAAATATTCTACCAAATAAGGTTATGTTATGGCTTTCGAGAGAAAAGTATTTTTAACTAGAATATGGGCGTTGTAAACATTCGTAGAATCCGTTTCACGAGAGAAGAACCCACTTGAAGTTGCAGTCGTATGCGCGAGCGTGTCGTCATATAACCAGCGCCATATTATAAATTAGATGTTTGACTTCAAATCAGTAGCGTAACCATTTCATATTTAATTCTTAAATAAATATACAGGGTGTTTCCGAACTTGGCGTCCAAATTTGTAGGGGTGGTAGTTCGCATAATTTGAAAGCGATTGGAGATTTCATTTTTCCAAAATATTTAAAATAAAAATAATTAAAAACTTGAAAATTTCATGACGAATTCGAAAGTGTAAACAATAGTAGGCCTGTGAAATCAGAAATTTTATTTTTTTTTACTTTGGAAAACCGGTGACTAAAGAAATTTTAGAAAATATTTGCAAAAATGTGTTATCAGGACTTTACTTGTAACACCCTGTATCTCGAAAACGACACGTTTTCGGACCTATGTTTATATGAATTTTTATTCTTATTTTAAGATGTAGATTACGCTGTTAAAATATGACCGTCTAATTTCGGGACACCCTGTATAATTGATGGCCAATTTGAAATGATCCTCGTAAGTCATTATATGACAGCATAATACAAAAATTATCAATTTATCTATATCAAAATTTTTTTTACAGGTACATTCCCACAAGACTTTGGGGCTTTAGCGGCCATGTTCAAACTATACTGCATAGTATCATCGGCAGGGTAAAATGTCCCTGGCCAATAGGCGAAAGAGTTTTTATCACAGTTCCAGATGGCTCGACAGTCACCTTTGACATTTATCAACCCATTGACACTAGTTTTCAAGGTAAGTAAAATGATAGGTATTACAATAGGTTTATTAAAATTACATTTAATATTCAATTTATTTCTGATCCATTGCACCGTTCCCTTTATTCGACCATTTCGCATTACTCATGCGCGAAGAAAGTGCAGGATTTTTGGATCTAGTAATTTTCCAATAAATTTGTTTTCTATCTCTCTCTTATTCTCACCCTGATGAACGACTCGTTGTCAAGTGCGGTTCTTTAAAGATAAATATTCGTAGACAATAATGAGCCAGATGGTTCCAATATCAGTCTTACACAGAGGCAGTTCTACCCTTTAGAAAAATATTTAATTTTCACTAACCACAGGGAATTGATGACGTGGACATTTACAAATCCCTTTATACCACCGACCTTGATATTAAACTGGATGGCTATTTGACATAAACCCTACTCCTAATTTCTAAGCCGAGACATGGGTGAAAAAAACAGCGGTGCGCATGACAATTTGGACGCCAAACTGTCAATTTCAAGCATTCTACGTCACGTTTCTCACGTTGTTTTATTCTCCGAGCAATTACTAATAGAGGGAGCGTGAAAACGAGTTTGTAGACGATTGTTGTGTTAGCAACATCTGTAGAGGAAGTGAGGAAGCGGGCACAGGGGGGAAGGTAAACATCCTTCTTGTTCAGTGGCGTATCATTTATCTATAAAAAACACATTGTCCAAACGTTTTAATTGTAAAAAAAACTAAAAAAAATTGCTAATTTTACTATTTTTAAAATGAATACCGTCTTATATGTGTCTAATGCAGGAAATGAAACAAAATCACTGTAAAGGTCTAATTTTTTCAATTGAAGAATAAAACCTTAAAATCAATTTTATTATAAATAAATACAGGCGCGACTAGTTTCGGCCTTACAGGAACATCTTCAGGCCTGTAATACAATAATCTTTAATTATTATAATAGGTTGGTCACTTACGAATAACATTAAATAGTATAAACCACAAAAATGGATCCATATTTTAGCGTTACAGCATTATAGAATTAAAGCTGTGAAAATAAAAGAGCAGTGCAAACGTAACTAAAAATAAGAAAACTGAGTACGGAATCTACAAGAGAAGAGGTGAGAATAAGCAATTACGAATGCATTTAAATTGCTCGGGATAACAAATAAAGCTGATAATGTAGTGGTATAGTCCCCGTCAAAGAAGGTCTGGATATGTTAAAGAGGACGGCGTTTTTTCTGTAAATCTGGAGAATGTAAGGATGGAGTGAAGACGAATCTTGCTGGCTCAGGTGTAGATGGCTAGAAAAAGGAACGTGTAGATGAAAGCTCCAGTAAATATCGTCACTTTCGTCTAATTTTTTATTCTCACTCACCGTTTTGGCTTTATCTTCGAAATTCATTTTTAAAAGGAAATAAAAGTAATCATTCATATAATAAAACAACATGAATTCATTATATTTAATAAGCTAATAAACGTTTGTTTCAATGAAAAAAACATATATGTGAATATAAAAAATATATAAATAGATAAGATTAATATCAAAATCAATTTGAAAATACAACAGATAATACAAGTATTAGAAATTAAAAATTTAAAAAATCGACTTCAAAAACGTGCAGATGCCGTCACCACATCTTAATCAAATTTATGTGGGACCACCCGTGAGGTATCCCCTTACTAACAAGAAAAGAATCATATAAATCGGACAAGGTGGTAAAGCATTATCGCTAAACATACATAAAAAATGAAGAGTTTGAGGATTTTCTCACGGACCCAATTATTATATTTTGACCAAATTTATATGAGACCACCCCTGAAGTACCCCCTTTCTAACAAAAAAAGAATTATTGAAATCGGACACCGTGTTGAAGAATTATCGCTGAACATAATAAAAAAAAAATATCGCGACGATTTGATAACCCCCTCCTTTTTTGAAGTCGGTTAAAAATAAAATAAATTAATACAAGTACAAATAGAAAGTTAATAACATACCTTCTAAAAGTAACACATTTTAAGTAGATAAATGTTTATAGCGTTTATTCCTGAACATAACTAATCTAACGTTTTTCCCCTTTTTAATATTATGAAGGTTTTTGTAGTTGAAATGAAAATTATAATTTATTTTGGTCCTAATAAAAATTTAAACATAGGTTATCAAAGAGTAAAATACATAATAGAACTTCATAATCTTAAATCGTTATCAAAAATTATTAATGGTAAAACTTCAAACAATAATTAGATTCTTAAACAAATTTCTAGTTTTTGTTTTGCAAAAGACTTTTTTGCCTTCTTCGGTTGCCTCTGTCACTTTTCTTTTAGTAGTTTCGAGGAGAATTTTCCTATGGAAACCAATAGAACCATCAACTGGTTGGTAAAATTTTGATATTTTGGGTCTGGTAAGTCTTGTTAAACTTTCTTCTTAGGAAGCTGTAACCTTATGGAGAATAAAAATTTAATGTTAGATCAGAAGCTCTTAATTGAGAATTATATTTGCAAAGGCCGTTTTAATAATATTTTCAAAAGTTCTTGAAATCGTTGTTATCAGAAACTGCAAAAAAAAATATATCATTTTATTCCTAAAATATAAGATGTCACACAATGCACATTCATATAATATCATTGTGCTAGAAAAATGCTAGGTAGGTACTGAGACAATTTCAAAAAAGTATTTCGAGAAACTCAACTTTTAATGTCATCATTGTACTTAACTTTTTTATTGCTAAATTATTAATAATGTCATTTTGTGTAGTTCGTTGTGATTTGTATAATATATATTATAAAAACACATTTTTAAAGTTTTCTGGATTTCTGCTTTAAATTATCGTACAATTGAACTAATTGTGTGTTTAAGTAAAGGTATATCTCATTTTTGTTATAACAGTTTTTGTATATTGTTCTAATTTTTTAGATAATCAGAGAAAACAGTAAGACATCTTAATATATCCTATTTCACCAACAAAAATGTAGAATAATTAATCTCACATCAAACGAAAAAAGTCATTTTAGGATGTCCTAATAGGTTTTAACTTAAAAACTAAATAAAATTATATTGCAACTGTGTTTAAATAAATGAATGTTTTTATACCTGACTATAGCACCAGACAAACATTTTTTTAGATCATAATGATGTGCATAACTCAAAATAGTCAAAAATCCACATTATTTAAGTTGTTCTAGTATTGTTTTAGCATAACGATGTAAACTCCAATAATAAATATTCACATTTTTTTGGAACGTTTTTTAAGGAAATTAAAAAAACATGAATAATGTGATATTCTTGGTTAGTTTTGTACTATATAATATAGTTCATTAGGTAGTGATTTAGAAGCAAATTATGTTCTATTTATAAAATAAAAAATCACTCATATCTAAATATTTATACCTATTTATATTTTGGACAGGAAGACTATTTTATGTTTTTGGCTCTGAATAGTTTTCTTAAGAATTTTTAAACCGTCCTTAGCTCTTTTGGGATATTCCATGCATATCTTAGAAGTTCATTTTGTTTAAACCTAAAACAAATTAAGTACAAAAAATGAAAATTTAAACAATACACAAAATTAGTCTTTTAGATTAGTTAAAAAAAAGTGTCAACAAAAAAATTCTTAAGCTTCTCTACTTACTTGCTGTTTTAGTATTTTAGTAGCAGATGAATATAGTGTAGAAGTAGTGACAGGATTGATTATTATACTTCTTTCGTCGAAATTGCATTTTTCTTTAATATTTTCCTCCCCTGAGGTCTGTAATAAAAATGTTCATTAACATAAAAAGTAATTCAGGTGGTCACTTGTTGAATTCCTATATTTTGGAACCATGTATTTCTTTCTTATATCAAGAAAAGGAAACCTAAAAAAATAACAATAAACTTTACAAAGATGTGATACTAAAATAATAATAATAATAATAATAATAATAAGTAATTAACCTTTACTATAATCATTATGACACGGATGAAGACGAACTTAGCTGGAGTTTACTTGCTCTTAATTTTAATTTTTCGATAAAAAAATAAGAAAGTTTAATTGCAAATTAAAGGTGATTGCCTAATGCACCGTTTCTGATAATTAGGTTGTGTCTGTACTTACTTATGATATTATCTTGAAGAAGCATTTTCAACAGGCCTTTTACACATAGAGCATATTTTCACCATATTATTAGAGATAATAAATCTTAAATATACATTTACAACCCTTACAACGTTATAAATAATAATATTTTCCGTAAAATACAAATAAGAAATTGACATGTGTCAGAACTGGCGCTGTCAAACTTGGCAACGCTGATTAAATAAGCCAATTACAGAAGAGGTATTTTCCCCCTCGGGGGGAGTAGATGTTGCTAACAAAATTTAGCGTGGGGAAGGGGGGAAGACTCCCTCTAGTAGTAATTGCTCGGAGGTTTTATTAATAACGCGCTATTTTAATAATTATTATAATTGGAGTATTTGTTTTAGCTCCGTATTAATCAAAATTCATTTTTAATTGATTTTCCTAAATTAAAAGGTGACGAAGTTGAATGTAATAGGTGTTAAATTTAATTTTGATGTTCCTTTTTAGTGCATTTCGATACGCACGTGTGGGCGCCACAGTGTCAAATATCACCTCGCTATGTGGCTTGATTTTGTTGATCGGCTTTGTTCTTCCAGTTTAATATACAGGGTGTTCCATCTCAGACGAGCCACCCCGTATATTTCTTATCCCATAGTAATTGGAAAATTTTTCCCGAAAAATGTTGGATGATTTTCTTTGGGGGACATCTTTTGACGTATATTTGAGGCTTGAACGAGCAACCCCCTATGAGGGGGCGCTTCAACCCCTCAAAATTGAATAGGGAAGAGGGGTTGAGTGATACTTCATTTTTAAGGTCTTGGAAGTCTCTTTACAACAGTGTATGAAAAAAATCACATTCTTAAAAAAAATTAATTGTTTTATCATGCTTACAATCAAAAAAATCAAAACTGCGTTTTTAAATCAAATGTTCAAATTGTCCTCCATTGACTTCCATACAAAAATACAATCTTGACTGAAA